GTTTCATTTTCGCCAGTATTACCATCTTTGGGAGTTTGGTCCCTTGGTGTAGGTTCACCAAAAAGATTGTTGATCCATTCAGTTTGTGCACCATTTGGACTGGTATTAGTATTCTGATTGAATGATTTAACCATCATATTTTCAATTTCTTGATAATTGGTTTTGTTCGGTGACGAAGAACTTGATTCTCTCTGGTCATCTGATGTCATTGGTGGACAGTTTTCTTTGTCCTCACCATCATCATATAGATTAATAACTCTTGTGTTTGATTTTGTTGCCATCATTGGAGGGGTTATTCCTTGTTGTTGGTCTTGGGGTAAAGGATCTATATCCGTGAGTGGGCCTCCAAATGAGTTTAGCTGGTTCATGAAATCATTTAAATCATTATAATTAGGGGTAAGTTTGTTACTGCCATGGTTATTATTACTATTATTATGATTATTGTTTTGAATGACTTGATTTATAGCAGAAGGCGTATGCAGAGGTGTAGGAAATTTATGTGATTGAGCAACAACCGGCGATGATCCGAATTGATTGGAATTCCTCATGACAACACTGGTCAAGCTATTCAGGCGAGCTTTATAATTATGAGGATAAGAATTTGACATTTCATTGATCTTATCATCCTCTTCTTTTTGTTTCAATTCCTTCTTGTATTTTTGTTGCTGTAAATACTTCTTGACAACACCTTCAGGCCTCATAAAGCCTTTGTTTCTTAGAAATAAGTAGCATGCATTACACAACGGGCCAAACATACCTTCATAATGCTTTTTGTCAAACTCTGTAGCCCTGTGAATACCAAGATAATTTGGATGGAACCCAGTTTCAAAATATCTCCAAGTAATTGACAAGCTAGTAGCACAATTACTATTAGTACATATCAATCCATGGTTTTTCGGTAACTTATTATGCGGAATTGTATGTGTTTTCCTACTGTCTAAATCTTCCAAATCCGGCAAGGCATGAAATTGAGAGTTTGAAGTGCTATTAGTTGAAATTGGGATTGCTTTGTAAGGAGGCTGTTGTGGAGTATATGGTGAGGTATCATTATCTTCAAATGCTCCATCATCATCCTCATCATCCTCATCATCCTCATCATCCTCTTCTTCATCTTCATCAATGGCTGGGTGGTTATCATTATAATCGGTGTCATCAGTTGCATCTGAAAGAATATCTTCTTGAATGGGTAAAGAAACAGATAGTGGCATTCTATTAGTCACCATGGATCTTGTACGCATAGCTCTCTGAGGTTCTGGTGTGTTCTCTTTGATTGCATGTTGGTTATGTTGATTATTACTGTGATGATTTCTGGACTTGCGGGTAGGGTTATCAATTATCTTAGCCTGTAAGAAAGGTGCCAGCTTAAATCTTTCTTGCACACTTTTACTATCGTATTTTGAGGGAGCATTAGATTTATCGGCGTTCATTATATTGAAGATTTGCTGATTTGGCGGATGATAAAAAATAGGCAATGACTTGGTTCTAGTAGCCTTCATTGCGGCATTTGAAGAAGCCATCGGTTTGGTTCTTGGTCGTTTTTGGGCATAGTTCATATTATCATTGGACCTTTTAGAGCTCATCTGAGTTTGCACTTGTTGATGATTAGACTCTTGTTTTTCGATTGTATGTAACTTTAATCTAATTTCTAAGGTCAATGACGAAGAACTACTTTTATCACCAAACAAATAACTAGCAGACAAGTTTTGACAGACTCTTCCGGGTATTAAATGACTTTTGGACGAATTTATCAAATTTGATAACACGCCGTTCGAGACAAATGGTTCATCAGGCTGTTCGGTGATATCCTTATAATATACGGCATAATCTTCGGTTTCCAATCTAAAATTTTCTGGTGAATTCTTTAATACCTGTTGCGTACATTGCTTCAAGTCAAAAGCTCCTAATGTGATCATCTCTTCTTCCAGCAGCTCGGTAGTACTATACATCGGTATCTGAGCAATCTTCACTGAATGCTGTGCCTTTGAACGTGATAAAAACACGGTTGGATTATTATTGAATGAATATAACACTTTTACTTGCATACGCTTGTAAACAGCGGACTCGTCTGAACTCATGATTCTATGGTCGAGTTAGGTAAGTATGTTATAGTGGTAGTAGCAGTAGTGATTTGTGTTCCTTGTATGGTGTGTTTAGATCCTTTCCTTTTTATGTTGTTTTTTTGCGTGTGTCTTAGTATGAATTCAACGAACGAATGGCACAATAAATAATTCTCTAGTAACGAATGACTATATTCGCAGATGCAATGGATAATAGAACCGGCTGTTAAAAACTTCAATTTATAAGAAAAATGCAACTAATAAGAAGAAACAGCTACTTATTAAATGGCGTATGGGATAATAAAATAACTTTCTTCACTCTAAGATCTTCGGGATCGTCACAATTTCACTAATGTATAAGCACTCTCAAGGTTTATTGTCAATGTTTACAAATCATCATGATTTTGAGATTTTGCGTGTTCCAAAACGCGACGCGATTTTATCAACGAGTAGCTATGGAAATAGACATTGAACTCAGAATAGGATTGCTAGAGTGATTAAGGATATTGTGTCATTATTTAGTTCTAAATACGTTCTATTTACAGGTGAGATTGTATATATAAGCGGAATTATTTAAGTTGTCCGAATAAAAATTTTGGTGGACTAGTCCAAACCTACAATTCTTTTGATCTCTTGAATATTGACCAGGGTAATTTCTCTAGCTTTTGTAGTACCAACTTTACAGATCAGATCAAGATAGGAGAAGTCAGCCATAAGCTCGTTGAATAAATGTCTCTTATCGGCAAATTCCTCAACAATGAGCTCGGTGACGTGATCTTTCAATTGTTTGTGGTCTTTGACCCACAGTAAGTCTTCGACGGTGTCTACGATAGATTTTCTCGAGAGGCCGGAGATTATGTTAATCAAATTGGATATGCCGGGTCTATTTTCCGGGTCATAATATATTTTACCCTGTATTGAATCAGTGGTGGCTTTTTTAATCTTTTTGGCTATTGCATCTGGTGATTCTGTGACATAGATACACGAATTCTGGTCCGCATCAGATTTAGACATCTTTTTGGTCGGGTTCCTAAGCGAGAGCATCTTTTTTGCCGGGGTTAATAGAGTGGTAGGAAGCAGAAAGTAGTTTGTTTTGAAGGTGTGATTGAATGTAGACGCAATATTACGGCATAACTCTAAGTGCTGCGATTGATCATCTCCTACTGGAACGTGCGTTGACTTGAATATAAGGATATCAGCTGCTTGTAACACCGGATAACACAATAAACCAGCTTTTGTCTTGCCAAGGACATCTTCGTCAAATATTGTGCTTGTCTCGATCTGCTGCGATTTCAGTTTCCACTGAGTCATCCTGTTTAAGCTTCCCATACTGGTTATACACGTCAATATCCAATTCAACTCCGTATGTTCCGGCACCGATGATTGGTGATACAAAATACAAGCATCTGGATCAATCCCTGCTGAGAGTAGACTTGCGATGGCCTCATATCTGTTTTCTTTCAATTTCGCAGGATTTTGCTGTACTGTGATCGCATGTAAGTCTGCTATACCAAAAACGTACTTCGTTCCAGGATTCTGTGACTCGGATAAATCTTTCCAATTACGAATGGCACCCAAATAATTACCAAGATGGATCTTTCCTGTTGGTTGAATCAAGGAAAAAATTGTGGAATTTGGTGGAAATTTGGGAACTGATTCTATCACATTTACGCTAGAATGTGTGAAGCTGCGACTGAATCTGTTTTTGCCTAGTAAACCTCTAATAGAACCCCGTTTCATTATGATGGGTAGTAACCTACTATTGATTAAGTGAAATAGTGAAAAATCATATCGCACTGTTAAAATATTGCCCAGTAGTGCACCTACACACAACAGTACGTCAATATGTCAATACAGATACGTAATGATAATATATATAAGAACTAAATAAATGGTAAGTTGAGAGACAATAAGTTAGATGAAACTAATATACACGTAATTTGAGATGGGGAGTAACGGTTGATGATAAAATTAGGCAATTAAGTGAATTAAGTCTCGGTTTCTTTTTTTTCGGTATTTTTATTAGAGATAAACCCTCCCACAACGTTCTCTATTTTGATACCATCTTTCGCTAATCTTTTCTCCAACTTAACTCTTTGTAATTCACGCCATCTGTTCAACTTGGAGTAATCGTGCAATTTGAAGCCAAACACCTTTGGCACGTATGTTTCTTTGACATGTGTAGGTATTACTTGGGGGAAATTTTGGAAAAACATCGCAGGGAACGATGTACCAAAGTATGCTCCATCTACTACCGAGTGTCTTCCAGACTTAGGGTTATACAAGTCTTCACATTTAGCACAGTACAACTTTACCGAGGCTAATCTGGGTTGATCGTTCAACCCAACGGGCAACAAAGGGTGCAATTGACAGTGAACCCTAGGACAATATCCAAAGTCTCCATTTCTGTATTTTTCGAACATCTTGTTCAAGCCTCTTGATGTCAATATATATCTGGCATGAATCAACCCGTATAATATTCTAGCGTTGAGCTCCAAAGCATCCTTATGTTCCTCTGGCTGCTGTTCTATATCCACCAAATCTGTTATTATATCAATCAAAGTAGGCAATTTACTGACTTCCTGGTTTAATCCAGTCAAATTAAACCTGTCACGGATGTATTCTTCGTCAATATCACAGAAGTATTCATTTCCCTTTATTCCCAAGAATAAATCTATCCAATATTCCGTAAAGTCTGACGAAGAATCACTGATATATTCTTCATTTGTATTGACGTTGGCCATTATATATCAACCTAATTCCTATACTATTTGTCGACTATATCCAACTGCACTATGCAATTGGTTCTAACCTCCTTTTTGATGAGTTTCACAAATTTTTACCATGTCGCACAATGTTGATCAATTGAGTCGCTTAAACAGAAATGAAATAAAAACATTATTATTATCCAATTGGACTGACTATACAACAGAATATACATATATGCGTGTTTTAGTATTTCCACCTGTGTTGCATAGTGGGCAAATCCATTCTATAGATATTAACAAGGATAATAGTAAGATATTGACCAGTGGATTAGACAAAGAGATCAATGTATGGAAATTACAAGAATTTGTACAATTAACCACGGAAGGCAAAGATACAGTTAAAGATGATATAGAGAATGTGAAGCCAGTATTACATGTAACAACTCATGAAGATCTTGTCAATATTGTCAAATGGTGTCCTCAAAAGGAGAATGTGTTCGTTTCTGGAGATATTCAAGGAAAGGTTTACATGCATGATATTTCGAAAGATACCCACGAGTTAATTTTTCCATTCGAATCGAAAGAAGACGGCACCTCGAGGGTTGTGGACTTAGCGTGGTCAAATGATGGTAGAATGTTGGCGTGGAGTAGTGCTGATTGCAAGATTCATATATACGATACGGAGAAAGCCACTTACCAGGAACTTACATCTTTATCGAACCTCGAGAAGCTAACAGTACAAAGAAGTATAGCGTTCGATCCTACTAATAATTATTTGATTTCTATGGGAGATGACACTCTGATATACTTGTATCAATACCAATATATAGAGCCCACGGCTAGAAATTATCAATTTCGCTTGATTAATAGAATATCGAAATTGATCAACAAAACATCGATGAATGTTGATTATAAAAGAATTTCGTGGTCGCCTGATGGAGAGTATGTTTCGGTGCCAACAGCCTCCAAGAACCAAACATCCTTAATATCGTTGTTGTCACGTTCTAATGGATGGAATAACATATTGAGCTTGGTGGGCCATAACTTGGACTGTGAAGTTGTACAGTACAATCCGATGATTTATAATTCTAGTGAGAATAGTGATAATCCAAAATTATTTAATGTGATTGCTACAGCAGGCTCTGATATGACATTAGTAGTATGGAATACGACCAAAGACAAGCCTATATTTATATTAAAAGAAATATCCAAAAAACCAATAGTAGACCTTTGTTGGGATAAAACGGGTAACTCGTTGTTTGTGGCATCTTTAGATGGCCATTTAAGTATTGTTTCTTTTCATCCACAAGAATTGGGAAATACTGTTTCCCAGGAATTGTGGAAGGAATTGTTTGAAACGGGTAAAGCAAGTATTAAACCATTCAACGAGAAACCTGATCAGGACACAACACCAAGCACGAAAAAGAGCAGCCATAATGTAATAGATATTCTCGATCAAAAAAATTCTATTAATGTGCATGAAGCGAAAGCAAAAATATCTACAGACGGTATTAAGGAATCATTAAGTCTAGCTCCAGAAGAGGAAAATGTTGACACCGAAAGCGCATTGAAACAAGATTTGCAGATTAATGATAAGCAAGTAACAAATTTTGTGCCCGAAGTTATACCTGCAATCATTGAGGATGCACCTGAAACTCAGACTGAAGATATATTGCACTCAGCAATGAGTACGACTAGATCCACAAAATCTCAAGTGAAAAATCCGAAAGAAAAGCCAGCAAAAGTAACTCCGGAGAAGGCAAAGGTAACAACTAAGAACGGAAAGAAAAGAATCCAACCAATGCTAATTTCCTCCACGAATGAAAATAATAGTAACAATGCTGTGAAAAAATTAAACACTTCAGAATCAAATGGAACATCTAGCTTGGTCTCTTCGGGGAAAGTATTAATGGAATTTGATAAACCATCGTATTCAATATCAGATGATTTATACAAACAAAATAAGAGAAATAAGATTCAAGATGAAAACTCCAACAAAAAACTAAAACGTGAATTGGAACCTGTAAAGTTTATTGGATCAGTAGTTTTAAATCCTAGCACTACATTTGCTAGGATAAGGCTTTCTATTCCGAAGGTTCGTTTGAATTTTCAATTATCGAGCACAGTAGAAGATAATTCATTTATTCTTGATGTAAAGAATGGTTTGGGAAATGAAACAAAACCGTCTCGTATTACATACTTCAAGAAAGAGAAACAAATCTGGTGTGATTTCATTCCACGTTTCATTCAACTCGTAGCAGAAGGATCAACATTCTGGGCGGTCAGTACTGCTGATGGACAAATACTCACTTATTCACATACTTCTGGTAAAAAATTACTACCTCCAATTATTCTTGGATCCCCATTATCATTTTTGGAAAGTCATGGGAATTTTTTGATGGCTGTTACCTCAATAGGTGAATTATACGTTTGGAATATTGAGCAGAAAAAGATTCATTTACAATCACCTCTGTCATTGAGTTCATTGCTTGATTTATCAAATAAATATCAGGAAGATGGATTATCTAAGTCCGACAATATAACTATGTGCTCAATAAGTAATAACGGAATACCTTTAATTACATTATCTAATGGCGCAGGTTATTTGTTTAATAAAGATTTGGGCACTTGGCAAACGATTTCTGAATCTTGGTGGGCATTTGGATCTCATTATTGGGATTCATTAGGTAATGATGATGGGTCGAAACCACAATCATACGGCCTTTTTGGTGACAGTAATGACTCCTCTATAGTCGGACTATTAGAACAGAAAACGAATGAGCTGATTTTAAGGAAAACAAGAGCTGGAAGAGGAAAATATTTTAATAAAATTTCTAAAAATATGTTAATGAAAGAGGGTTTTGAAAACTTAGAAAATACTATATCATTAAGTCATTTGGAGAATAGGATATTGTGCTGTGAATTATTGGGTGAATTCAAAGATTTTCACGATTTCTTTATAATTTATGTGAAAAGAATATGTGAATTAGGATTCAAAGCCAAATTGTTTGAAGTCTGCGATCAATTACTAGGTCCTTCCGAACCAAATAGTGCAACTACTAGAGATGGTGAAGTAAACTGGAATCAGGAAATTTGTGGAATCAGTAAGCATGATTTATTAAAAGAAGTGATCCTTTCATGTGCTAAGAATAGAGACTGTCAAAGAATATTGATCCATTTTGGCAAAAAGATTGGAGTAATCGATATTGATGAATTTAATTAATAAAATGTTATATTTACAAGTACATAGATAAATAGTATGGTTCATAATTTATAAGTATTAGAGTTATCCCAATCCTTCTCACCTAGTAAGCCTTTGATTGGTCCTTGTTCATTGACTTCGGCATGTTTATTGCCTGCAACATAGTCAATATATCCATCAGGGCCGCAAATTAAACTCAAACTGGAAGGTTTCTTCTGCTCATTACTAGTAACAATAGCTTGCTCAATAGCATTTTTATAACGGTGTACTCTTTGATCATCATTTATGATTTGATCCTGATATTTATCGTCATCACCGTTTAAAATCTGCATTCTTAATTTAAGCGCTTCCTCCGGAGATAATTGATGATATTTCTCTTCTTTCTCTTCAAGATGTAAAGGACTTATATATTCAGAAGGCTCGGGTTTAGCAATATCTTTAGAGCTTAGCCTTGAATTTGGGATATTGTCATAATGGGTATGCAATTTTATTCTATCTAACTTTTCTAAGAAAAATAAAAACCGTTCTAACGGTTTCAATTCACCTGGTTTCTGGGCTGAATAATGTAAATCAACAAATCCTCTATAAGGGTTACGAGACAACAACACTTGTAAAATTGGGGTAATACCCGTTCCTGCGGCATAGAATGTCAAATTATCGAATTCAGGTAAGTTATTAACTTTTTTGATTTTTTCCGCCAAGTTTTCAGCCTCGACCTTAGATGGCAAGTCTCTGAAAATTGGTCTCTCGTGAAATTGTTTTAATGGATGATAGGGGAATTTATATTCTATATTTGGACCTCTTAATTCTAGTTCATCACCAATTTTTTTAGTGGAGATATATCTAGAAACCTCACCATCATCATATTTCTTTACATAAAGACACATACTTCCTTGTTTATCATAGTCATCTGCGTCATTATCAATGACTTTCAATAATGGCTTTCTATCACCTGATCTAGTATATTCTGATTTCATAAAAAATAAAGGTAATGGAGTATAAGCTCTCACAACCATAATGTCCGGTTGTTTGACGTCAACCGACCAAATTTTGTCACCGTTCCATATACTTTTGCTTTCGTAATTGCTGTAAAAGCTATATTGCCAGTGGTTGAATTTTGGTATTAACTCGATAAGAAAATGTTGATCATCAATTTCCTCCTTGTGTGCAATTATGAATCTGTGGAATTCTTTAGGATCTAACAATTCTTGACTATCCGAACCAGGTTCTGGCAGATATACCCATACCTTAATTGCATATGCACCCCATAATACAACAACAGCAGTTATTATTTTTGGGAAGTACCTGGACCAACGATTAACAATTTTGGGCTTTTTTTCGTTCGTATGTTTAGTGAAATCATCCTGATTTGGCAATCCTGGATATTCATAACTTAATCGTTCATGCTTGAGTTTAGGAATATATGGCTTGTTATCCTTTTTTAAATAATGGCTTACTCCGGAGTTTGGATCCATAGGAGCTGGAGATGCTGGGGAAGAGGTTGACTTTACTTTAAAGTTACCTACTTTATTGTTATTTGCATCGTTTGAAGTCAATTCTTTATCAGTCTTTTTATTTGACTTGTCTGTGTTAGACTTGCACCTGTAGAAAGTTTGGTTTGCAAGCTTAACCCCCGATGACCGGTTGGCTAGTACTCTACTCCCTATACTTCTAATACCTATCATCTTATGATGTAGATTATAATGAATATGAAGTATATACTAGAGTTTTTCAGGCATTTAGATATTTTTCAGTGACACAAAAATTTAACATTTCATAAAGTATCAAGAAGACATAGACTAATTATATAAAACCTAGTCAATAATGGTTAACCTTATCAAGTCTATAAAAGCACATAATGATAAGGCTTGGTGTGCTAAATCACATCCAACATTACCTTTGTTAGCGACAGCTTCCACCGATAAAACATCACATATTTATAATTTGTCAGCTAAGAAGAACTTCCCATTATTGGCGAAGCTAGAAGAAGCACATAAGAGATCCATTCGGTCCGTCGATTTTAAACCTCCTTTAGGTGGGATCGAGACGCCAGTAAGTGATTTTTTAGATTTACCAGCATTGGCAACTGGATCGTTTGATTCAACCATATCTATTTGGGGAATCGATGAGCCAGAAGAACAAGATAGTATGGATGATGATGACGATGATGATGAAAAAATGAATGATAAACATGCCCAATTGTTAACTAGTATTAATAATGAATGGAATTTAATGGCCATAATTGAAGGTCATGAGAATGAAGTTAAATCGGTAGCATGGAACTACCAAGGAAATTTATTGGCATCGTGTTCGAGAGATAAGACAATTTGGATATGGGAAACGGACCCAGAGACTTTAGAAGAGTTTGAATGTATATCAGTACTTAGCGATCATCAGCACGATGTTAAACATATTACTTGGCACCCATCACAAAATCTATTGGCAAGTTCATCTTATGATGATACAATAAAATTATATAAACAAGATGAAGATGACGATGATTGGTCTTGCGTGGGAGTATTAAATGGTCACGGTGGAACTGTATGGTGTTCGTCATTTGAAAATCCAACTAGCCCAACGTTTGAAGCCAATAAGATTAGATTGGTTTCTGCATCTGATGATTTAAGTGTTCGTATTTGGTCTAGTATTGTGGAACAAACTGAGCAAACTGACGACTCTACCGATAGATTGCCAAGTTCAATTAAAAGCACTAATAACGAAATGGTCTGGGAAGAAGAAGCTATTTTACCCGCAATTCACAAATATCCTGTCTATTCTGTATCGTGGTCAGCGAAAACTGGAAAAATATCTAGTACTGGATCAGATGGCAAATTGGTTATTTATAAACAAACTGAATCCAAGAAATGGGAAATCGAATCTGTTTATGAATCCGCCCATGGAGTTTATGAAATTAATAGTGTATCTTGGTGTACGTTAGACGATAAGAGGGAAGTACTTGTAACCGCAGGAGATGACGGGGCTATTAACATATGGGAACCTTGATTTATAGAATATAATTAATAATCTTATTCGTAGAATTAAAGTGAAAATGCTATATGAAGCCTATGTAGACAAAATGTGTAAATACAGCCACTAGAGTGACAATTTAAAATATTATTCCAATGAGAATAACAGTACCGACAACTCCCAATAAAATAAAGAGACAACAAAACATCCTGCCACCAGACCGTCTTTGATATCTTTCCGCTCTTCTCAATTCATTGGACGCCCCGTGTACGTCACCGCCGTATCTTAAAATATTATCTTCTATATTGTCAATTGAAAACTGCTGTTCATTTACGATATCATGCAAATTCAGGAAAATATCGTTGATTTCAGAAATATCCTGCGATATCTGGTGTATTTCTCTTTCTCTTTCTTCAACTAATAGGGACTGTTGTTCCAACTCTTCAGCATTAATAGGCTCATAATCGATTTGCATCTGCAGCTGCTGCTGTTGTGTTTTTGAGGTGGAATCTTCTGTAGGATTTTTAGAATCTATAGCATCCGGATCACCATTAATGCCGTATTTCGCAACGGTTACTTGCTGCAAAGATTCGAACTTTCTTTGGTATTTCTGAAATTGATTTATGCTCGATTTAATCAACTCTATCAATATCGACTCCTTTCGTCTCAAATAATGTAGCGTATCTTCATCCTCGTGGTTTGACTCGCAATCGTTTAGGTAACCATTTAATTTCTTGGTTATCTCATTTACAGACTTGAAATTTTCAGTCGTCTTATTCAATATTTTTGAAAGTTTTACCGAGACTTTTTGCAATTTAAAAGATAGATTCTGCTCGTCACCTTGGCTGTGCAAACTTTCATATTGCTGTAACAAGTTTTTTATAGACACTAATTGGTTATTATTTATATTATACAAGTTATTGTCAAGACTTTGTGATAAGCTATCAAATTCTGGAAAATCCTTATAATGCGTAATAGCGGAGTCTGCTCCTGATGATTCCAAATCATTGGAAAACGAATTACTCAAGTTGAAAGACATTGTTTAATTAAACCAGTATATAAATCATCGTTAAAAGGACAATTAGTCAACTTCTGATAGCACTAATAAATTGATGGTAAAAACACGACTATAGATTTCCATACTCTATGGGAGAGATATAGTGTATTCACTCAAATGATAAGAAGTCCAGTTATGTTAATATGCCGTATTTTTGTAACAAAACGGACCATCAGCTAGGAACCTTCCATGAAAGAACAAAAATGCTTGTTCCAGGTATAATTGCGACTACAAAAACTTACAATGTTTTTCAATCCGAAATCGGAGATGGATTTGCATCCTTCATTCGATTAAAGCAAAATATACAATCTATGAATAAATATCTACGTATGAATCTAATTAACCTCTTCTTCAGATAAAAACTTCTCACAGTCTAATGCAGCCATACAACCGGTACCGGCAGAAGTGACAGCTTGTCTATAACGTTTATCTTGGACATCACCTGCAGCAAAAACACCTGGAATAGAGGTTTCGGCGGTACCTGGTTTGGTTAAGATGTAGTTTTGATCGTCGGTTTCAAGTTGTTTGGCGAAAATTTGGGTAGCTGGAATATGTCCGATAGCGTAGAATAACCCGTTAACTTGTAAATCCTTGGTCTCCTTGGTCTTGTTGTTGTAAACAGAGACGCTTTGCAAGAGCTTACCGTCACCCTTGGCTTCCTTTGCCTCGGAATTCCATAAGATTTCCAACTTGTCGTTGTTTTGGACTCTCTTTTGCATGATATTGGAGGCTCTTAATTGATCTCTTCTCACCAATAAGTATACCTTAGATCCGTACTTGGTCAAGAATAAAGCTTCTTCACAAGCGGAATCACCACCTCCTACAACAGCCAAAGGCTTGTTTCTGAAAATAGGAACAGCACCATCACAGACAGCACAGGCAGAAATACCTTGTTGCCAGTAGGTGTCTTCACCTGGTAAGTTCATTCTCTTAGCAGAAGCACCGGTAGCAATGACAACTGCATCGGTAGTGATTGGTTCACTGTCTTCATTCCATTCAGTCCATAATTTGAATGGTCTGGATGACAAATCACACTTGGAAATAGTTTCCGTGATAATGTCAGTACCAAATCTGACTGATTGTTCTCTCATTTGTTCCATTAATTCAGTACCGTTGATACCTTTTGGGAAACCTGGGAAATTTTCAACATCAGTGGTAGTAGTTAATTGTCCACCTGCTGCAGTACCGTTAGCTAACATACCTTCATATAATGTTGGCCTAATTTCAGCACGAGATAAGTAAATAGCAGCAGTATGAGCGGCTGGGCCTGACCCAATAATTGTGACCTTATGATGAACCATTCTTTTGAATTGTATAGCGGTGTTTCTAAATTTGTTTAACATAAACTGATGAATTTAGGAAGTGATAAATTTTCCATTATATTTATATTCCACAATTAATAACGAATCTCGAATCTAGGTCCGAGGTATTTCTAATGATCAGAACACGACCCTTCTCCAGATCTTCTAGATTAGACAAAATCGATAAGAATCGAAGCCCAAAGATGTTGACTAATCCTGTAGACTAGACATGCTTAGTGATTGTACAGAGGTCGGACCTGTGATTGGTAATCTTTTGAGATGATTTTAAATAGACGAGCTCTTGGTAATATTAATTATATAATACAATATCTATAAATGTAGGACGAGTCGGAGGGAGCAATAACGTGTGAGCCATTAGAATGAGCTATTATAGTGAGCCATTAGAGTGAGCAATTAGAAGTGAAGCAGATGCAGACGGCCATTATAGGCCAAGTCGTGATTATGAATTGAATCCAGCTGTTTTCTCGATGCCGATCCAAAAAAGAAGAAAATGTAAGTTTTGTATTGTAGTTGCACCCAAAGTCGTTTATAAGCATATTGCTGTCTGGTAGATATTACATTTGAATTGTTCATATTAACATGCACATGACTGTGATAAAATTCCAATAATGTGTGCTTTTCAATGATAAAAATCGAGTCAAAAAAGGACCACGACGAGCCGATAATATACGGCCATGTATAGTTGCAAGAATATTTGCGACGTTTGATTAAATGCGTAGTTGTCCATGACTTCAACAAAGGAATGCAAGCTTGAATTATCAGTTCAAAATGAAATCGGTGATCACCGGTGAATGCTGATGCTTCGGGTTCAACAATACATTTGTCATGAACCACTGTAGTCCCTTACGTCTATTCTCTAGCCAGTAGTCAGACATCAGCAATCTTTGGAAGCTGAAGTTATCTTTGGGAGGTAATGGAGGGATTTCAGTATTAGGATAATGCTCGAGAAGTTCTTCTCTGAATCTCTGGATATCACTGTACCTTTTATATATCACCATCGATGAATAGACAGAATCGTCCACTATAATCCGTATCGACCATACCACGTATGATGATCCTCCCTCCCCTTGTATTACATGATAGTCTCCCACCAAAACGTCTGTAATATGAGAAGAGGACTTGAAATGCCCCGAGATTGTTTCATCTTCCAATTGTATAGGAACTGGCAATACCTTATTTAACTGAGTCACTGAGTTTCTATGCGTGCTGCTCCGTCTATTTGATGCAGCCATTGCACTGTATTGTGTATCGTACTTCCAATATAATAGATGTTCCTTAATCTCTGCAATATAAAAATTCTTAATTTTTGTGTCACCATGATTATTACAAAATTTCTGTAAAATAGATCTATATATTGCTACTTACAATAAGATATAATGAATCCTTTAAAAAACAAGTATACACCTTTACAAAGGTTGGTTCATCAATGGAAAGCTCGTCGAGATATTCCTTTTCGTAAGAAGTTTTTTATTGGTTATGATTTACATGGAAATACTTATTGGGAATTCACAGTTGATGGCAATATGCAAAGACTTAGAAGGAAGTCAGAGCCTTACAAACCTCATCTTTTCAAAGCAGATTATTTTGGTACTATACCACCACAATGGTTGCAGTGGTTAAGAAGAACGAGACAAAAAGCACCAACTTTAGAAGAATTGGCCAATGATCAGCTTAGACAACATAATATGAAAATTTTGGCACAACAAGCAGATGAAAAATGGCACATTGAAAAGGTCAGATTAGAAGAGGAGCATAAAATGAAATTGGCTGGAGAGTTGGCAAAAGTAGAAAAGGAGAATCAAGAGTTTCAAAATAAGCATAAATCTGAAAAACAAGAGGACCCTTGGGCAAAGGCAGATGCAGAATCTAAGTCCGATTCAAGCCCAATACAAGCAGCTACAATAAACCCTACAGCAAAACGTGCAGATGATCAGAAATAATCAAGTTCATTCTGTATAATATATATGTACATAGTTAAGCATCAATCAACGTCATTATTATAATTCTTAGATGAATAAAGGTTAGTAAAAATGCCATTTTTACCATTCAGGTCTTTGTCTTTCATCTTATCTTGAAATATTTGTACTAATTTTTCACTATAATTTTCTAATAGTTTTTCCTCGTAATGCATTCTATTATTGTCATCAATTTTTAGATTTACAAATCCGTTAAGCACTTGGTTTTCTTTATCAATCTGGGCATTGTCGCCTTCTAATAAATTAGAAATATCATTTATTTCCTTTCTTATGATCTCTTTGTTGGTATCCGAAATCGTCTCCTTTAATATTTGCGATTTAATCATTGCCAAATGAGCAATGGATCTTTCCATGAATTCGGACTGATTATTACCATTAAGCTTAACGGGCGATGCTAAAGTATTCATTAAAGTTGAGTTCAAGGGTTTTCTTGGGGATCCCTTCAAATCTATGGTTTTTTTATTAGATGGCGATGTACTGGGTCTAGTAGAAGAACTTTTAAGCGGCAGTAATGATGTATTTGATTTACTTAAATTCTTGACGGCGGGTGATGCTTGTATTGACCTCACCGAATTGGATCTCACAGGACTTATTCTTTCGCCAGCCTTTTTCTTTGCTTCTATTCTCTTTAATGTTGCATTGGAAAGTCTCGAAGGTGGTGTAGGAGATACAGTAGTGTCAATGTCACCAGTTTCATTTTCCTGTGGACTTGAATGATCAGAATTTGATATAGCTAACAGCGGCTTAAATGGGGAACTGGAATTTATTCCTGAAGTCGCTGGTGTATGTATTATTTTTCTGGTAACCTTACTGTATAAAGGTATTGAATCGAATTTGATATCTGGTGAAATATTTGAATTAGAAGCGCCAGTTGACTTTTTCTTGCTGGACTCGTTAAAATTCCATTTAAATAAGCATCCATCTATACTTATTGAAATCAACTCATTAGTATTTGGTTTCAATACTAAACTCAATATAGCATCCAGATGACCCCAGCTAACGCTTAATGGTTTGCCCAGGATATAGTTAAAAACTCTTATCGATTTGTCGGATGATGCGACAATAATTAAGTTCTTATGAATGGTAAAGTTTTCCACTAATAATGATTCGTTTGTTTTTTCGTTAAATAATTTAATTGATCTCTGATACTCTAAATTTTCTTTAATGCTATAAATGAGCATATTTCGGTCATTTGTAGATATTATCAAATCATCGTCAATAATTTTCATATTAATAGGACTATTCTTGATGGAAATTATTTTATCTTGGTGTATCTTAACTTCATCCCCATCGGTTTCAAACCTATGGACAGATATTGTTCTATCAGAGGAGCAGACATAAAGCTTTTTATCATAATATAGTACTCTAAGTAAGTTACCTGTATGTAAGGGCAAGGTTTGTAGTATATCCCACCTTGAGGATTCATCATCAGGTCTAAAGAAGACCTGAATCATCCTATCTCTGGAAATGCTTGAAAAAAATTCAGTATTGCCTATTTTGAAATACACAATATCATTGATAGTAGATGAGTGAGCTTTCGTCAGGTAAATAACTTCATATGGCTCGTTAATCTTACTCTTCGTTATATATATATTCCCATATTTGTCCCCCAATATCAAATGCTCTCCATTTGAATCAACGGCTGTTAATGAATTGGAAATTAGTTCATTAGACGGTAAATCAAATTTAATGATGGGCCGTAAGTTGTCTTCTTCGTTTTTTTCGGAGTCAATCACTTGTTTTATTAACCCACCCTTGGAAAATACTAATAAATCATTCAGAAATGTATCTTTAATACCCGATAAGTCATTCATTAATGAGCTAACCAAGCTCTTTTCAGACTTTAAATGTGTTTTGCTATAGATTACTATTTCTTCAGAGTCAGACAAATAGACAAGATTGTCGGTATTAAAATTAGATAATTTCAATATTGACAGATTCGATTTTAATTCTTTTTTAATTGGACTTAAAGATGTAGTACCGAACATCGTGTTGATTTTACTCATTGGTGACTGACTAGATGTAGGGTTAACTGTAGCATTTAGATCCGAAAAATCCAAGGACTTTATGCTGTAATCATCTGAACCTATCCAAACTTTCCCTAGTTCATAATCCACAAGTAAGCATTTTAACAGAAATTTTGGAGTTTCGAGACAAATTAATTTAAGACTATCATAAGTAAGTTTTAACAACAATAATTGATTACTATTCGCAATTAATAATAATTCATCATTGTTTAGGATGTTACCCGATATAAAGTTAGAATTGATTAACAGACCAAGAAGGACACTTTTTCCCTTTAGCACGGATGGCTTCTGTAGAACCTTTTCATTTTCATTTGACGCATCCTGGAGAAATCTCCATACCTTAATTAGTCTTAAACCCAACGTAATAATAAAATTCTCATGCCAAATAACTTGGTTGATTATAGACGAGCATCTATTGCTAGCCTGTAAATGCACTGAATTATTCCCGAGTTTCCAAACGTTAAGAAACCCATCATTAATTAGACCTAATGAGCAAAAGAATTTCAGATCTGGGGAAAACGTAATCGAATTGATACCAAACGAATGTTCGTAAATCAATGCAATTGGCGAGTTATTCAGATCTGGTGCCAATGAAAATAAAAGAATCCTTGGCTGGTAGCCTGTTTCTCCTATCGCAAGTACCCTGTTATTCGGAGAAAGACTTAAGCAGTTTATTGATCGGACCCTCTCCTTCAATTTGGATGGTGAAGTTAAATCAATTGTATCAGCACCTTTTGGACTATTCTTGTTATCTCCGTTTACATTTATACTGTTTCCTGCGATAATCATGGGCTCCGAGCTTGTGGGAAACCCGTATGAATCTTTTACTGTTTCTTTTGGGCTAGAGACTTCTTGATTTGATGCTTCTGCATATGCCATATTTAGATATGCGTTAGCCGAAGTAGGATTCGAGCTGCTGTTACTCTGTCCATTTGAATTAGCACAGAAGAATCTTTGAGAAATGATTCGATTGTTCTGCAAATCCAACTGGCAAACAACCACTCCTCCACTTGCTGTATATGCCATCAAGTTTCCTTCTATTACGAAATTATCTGGGGTCTTAGCTGAAGTACCGAGAATACTCTCGATCGTCAAGTGCTGCTGTAATAGCAGCAGTGATGAATTCTCCATGTTTATCGTGCTAAGGATCTCTAAGTTATCAGGAATTCAAAGAAACTAATCATTCGATAGGCCCGTTTGTGTTGATATATTTAAATGTAAACAAAAGCTCCATGTTGCGTCACATGACCATTCAGTATATCACCGATAAAGCGATGACTTTAAGGCTAGATAGCTTTATGAATTAGACAATTCAAGGCCATGACGGAGGAAATATCATTATCAATTGAGGAAACCAACAAGCTACGTTTGAGTATAGGTCTTGCACCAATACCTGTACCGGAGAATCAAAGTAATGAAGTGATAGCTCATCAGGAGACCGCTCAGCTGGTTCCAAAGCCAACTAAAGCAGGGGACGAACTATCCATAGAGGAGACCAACAAACTACGGTTATCGCTAGGACTTAAGCCAATACCGGTAGGCGAAAATTTTGTTGCAAGCAGAGAAGAAAACGAAGTCAAAAATTTTGAAAGACATCAATCAGAGATTAGAGATAAAGAGAGAGATGATGAGATAAAGCAAAGAATAGATACTGCTAAGGCACGAAATCTGACACGGAAAAGGTTGGCCACTGCAAAGACGTTGTTGTCTGAGGATGATAAAGATGGATCTACTGACGATTGGTTGAAAAAGTTGGGTCAGCCAAAGGGGCCGGTCAAGAGACAGAAGATACAAACAGACGAATCCATCGAAACGAATGGATTGCGCGTAGGGCATAATTCCAAGGAGCTTTCTACATTGAAGAATAACGAGATCCTCACCTTGAAAGATATAGACGTATTAGGGGAGGAAGGAGATGAATTGACCAACGAGGCATTAGTACGTGATGCGAGATTCAAGAAGGAGTTGCAAGATAAAATCGGAGCAGAGAGTGTGAAAAATAATGGAAGAAATGTCAGGGGATTTCAGATGGAAGAAGACAACAATGAAAATAACGAAGATGATGATAATATGATAATAACAGATGCAACGATTAAGTTATTGTCCAAGGATCATGCAGGAAAAGATAAGTCTACAGACATGGAATCGTCCAAGGGACATGTTAAAATATCAAACTTGTTTTCAGATATTGAAGCTTCGGAACTTCAACCTGCAAGTGACTACTCGAAACCAAAAAAGCCCATCAAAATGAAAAAGTTAAAGAAAAAGACATCTCAAAATTCGAGAAATAAAACTGATGACGCGAAAGAAGAAGATGAAATAAGTTCAATTAAACCAGTTGAGCTTGAGATGCTAGATCCAGCAGAGTTGCTTGCAGATGATGCCGAATTGACTTCGGTCCTTTCGATGAAAAGAAAGTTGAAACAGAAAAATAGGAAGCATATGACGCCAGAACAAATAGCCCAAGAAGTCAAACTGTTTAGAAGATGGGATGAAGAGAATAATCTTGATGATGTCTCATTTGCTGCACAGAAAGATAATGGAGGAATAGTGTTTGATGATACAAGTGACTTTTTGAACTCACTAAATGTTAATGTTCTTGAAAATACGGGCGATGTAAAAAGTAACTCAAATGTAAAAGATGAGCCAGAAATCAAATCAGAACCGAATATCAAGCTAGAACATGATGAAAACCTACTTACAAACAATACCCCCGCTGAAATGGAAGCTTCGGACTCTGCCTCTGTCAAGAAAGAAGATGAAACTGTCAATCACGAGGAAAACACGAATTCCCCCTCCTTTAACGGTGGTCTTGCGTCAACATTGAAGTTCCTCCAATCGCGCCAGATTCTCCAGAAGCAGACAGATGACGAATACGAAAAGGCCAAACAACAACGAGAAGCGTTGAAACAGGCAGAACTTCTAAAATTGAAGATCTCTATCGAATCACGGATGCTCCGGGAATACCTAGAAGCCGATAAATCGTATATGAACTTACCCAGGGAAGAAAGAGAAGAAATATTTGAGTCGCATCTCGACCAGGTCTTAAAAGAGAAAAATATTGTCTCAAATATCACTAATTCGCATAGAGGTGCCAGGAAGCCAAATAAACCTTCCATTAATAAAAACCTTGACACCTACAATCCTGATGTCAAATTATCCTATAGAGACGAATCAGGTACAGAATTAAATACGAAAGAGGCTTTCAAGTACTTATCGCATAAATTTCATGGAGTTGGACCAGGTAAGGGTAAGATAGATAAAAAGTTGAAAAAAATTCAACAGCAAAGAGATAAGAACTCTTCGAGTAATGAAGGGATTATTTAACTATATAGTTTACAATGTATACAAATTGGTTCGGCTTACGTTGTTTTCTATAGGTACCGATATGGACAATAAGAATAGACGGCAAGTCAACATGCAGGACCCTAAAGTTACCGCTTTCGGGATAGATCTAAAAGATAAATTTTCCATTATATATAATGTAAGCTTTTTTATAATCCTTGAAAAAATACGTCAAATAGTATATAAATGCTAAAGTCATGAGTTCGATTGCATTATTCAATGTGTCAGGTATGACGTGTGGTGCATGTACAGCTTCAGTAACAGAAGCGTTGACAAGCAAGAACGGAGTGAAGAATGCATCCGTATCATTGATAACAGAAGAAGCAAAAGTAACGTACGATGAAGCTAAAATAACTATTTCAGAGTTAAAAGAAGCTATAGAGGATAGTGGGTTTGATGCGGTATTAACTAAAAATAGCCTTTCCACTGGTTCCGGAGAATCGATGTTCTTAACAAAAGTGTCTATCCAAGGTATGACTTGTGGATCGTGCTCTGCATCAATCACTGAGGCAGTAGAGAAATTGGAAGGTGTTGAGGAGGTATCGGTATCATTGATGACTGGTGAGGGATCTATCAGGCATTCGGGGGTTAGCGATACTATCAAAGAGGCTATAGAGAATTGTGGATTTGATGTGCAGGTTGTCTCTACGATGCCAGTTAATAACGGGTCAGAAAAGAACCACGTAATTATTACCAACCTTTCTATTTCAGGCATGACATGCGGTGCTTGTAGCGCATCAATTACAAGTGCTTTGGAAGACAATGAACATATCTTGGATGTGTCTGTTTCGTTACTCACAGAACAAGCAATAGTTAAGCATAGAGATAGCATTGCCACCACACGCATAACAGAAATTATTGAAGACTGTGGTTTTGACTGTACTATCGAATCATCAGAAATTGTACATCTGTCTTCTGGCAAGCATGAAGAATACGAAGAGGAACAGCTTACTATGCAGATTTTTGGGATTAATGAACATACAGATTTGACGAATTTGCAATATAATATAGAAGCACTTTTAGCGAATTACCCTGCTGTTACTGACTTCCAATTGGCATTCAAAAATAGTTCCAATAATAGCGCAAATGGTCCAATAATGTCGGACGCCAATACGTCAGCAATTCAAGCTATAAGATCTCGCGACAACCAAGAAATATATGAAGACAATGATAACTTTATAGATGAATTATCTGTTGTTTATAATTCATCGTCACTTGGAATACGGCAATTAGTCGATGCCTTAAACAACTTAACGGATGAAATTGAATTTATCGTTGTTAATTCGGTTGACCAATCGTCTGCATCTCAATTACGGTTGTTATCGAGGGTTAAAGATATTCAATATTGGAAAACCAATTTAACTCATTGTTTAATATTTGGGCTTCCGGTAATATTGCTTGGTTACACTCAGAACTTAGAGATATGGCGTAAGCTAATGATTTTTCCAGGCTTATACCTCATATCAATTATACAATTTGCTTTGACAAGTCATGTTCAATTTCACCTGGGTGCTGTATTTAATAAAAAATTTATTCAATTTATTAAAAATAGAGGTAAAAATGCTACAATGGATGTCTTGGTCTGCATTTCTACCCTGATCTCGTTCATTTTCTCAGTATTTTCAATTGTTTTGAGTGTTTGGTCTGGACAAACAAATAAACCACCAAAGCTTTTGTTTGAGACCGCTTGTATGTTGTTTACATTTATTTCTTTTGGGAAATGGTTAGAAAATAAAGCCAAAGGCTCTACCTCGACAGCATTATCAAAATTATTGTCGTTAACTCCAACTAACTGTACAATCGTTATTGATGTTGATATGTATGAAGAGTTCCTCAAATCACAAAATATCGAATCCGGCGATAAATCGACTTCCGATTCTATTATTGATTTACCAACAAGAAATATTGCTATTGATTTAATCGAAGAAAATGATATCGCTATTGTCTTACCAGGTGCAAAAGTTCCGGCGGATGGTATTATTGTCTTAGGGGAGACTGAAATTGATGAGTCTATTATAACTGGAGAATCATTACCTGTAATTAAAAGTAAAGGTGATCATGTTATTGGAGGATCCATCAATGGGCCTGACTTGATCCACATCAAGGTGTTGAGAACTGGTAAGAAGTCACAATTGCAACAAATTATTAACTTAGTAAAGGAATCGCAGGTTAATAAGGCACCGGTCCAGAGATTTGCTGATTATATTGCAGCTAGATTTGTTCCTACTGTTCTCGTCTTGGCGACCATTACCTTTTCATTTTGGTTAATTATTTGTTATGTCATTCATAATGAAAGTACAGCCTTGCCAAATATTTTCCAAAAAGATATGAATGGAAAATTTTTCGTTTGTTTGAAACTAGGAATTTCTGTTGTCGTAGTTGCATGTCCCTGTGCATTGGGCTTAGCTGCACCGACCGCTGTTATGGTAGGCACGGGGGTAGGAGCAACGAATGGCGTTTTGATCAAAGGTGGTGATGTATTGGAAAAAGCAAACGAGATCAATATTATTCTTTTTGATAAAACAGGTACCTTAACGACAGGCGATATGAGTATCAGTAACAGCAAACAAATATTGAATGGATCATCACTTAGCTCATCTGATTGGTGGAATTTAGTAGGATCAGTTGAAGCCAATTCAGAACATCCAGTAGGAAGAGGTATTGTAAAGGCAGCTAAAGAGAAATTGAATCTAACTTTTGAAGGGGATGCATTTAATACGACCATTCATGATTTTAAAGTGTTAACTGGGTTAGGTATTAGAGCAACTATACAACTACCAAATTTTCAGAAGGATAGCTTCACGGTATATATTGGTAATAACCGAATGCTCGAAAGAGAATTTACTGATTTAAAGCCGGTCTTAAACGAATATTTGTCAGGTAACTTAGATAACTCTACAAATACTTTAGCACATGTGATTATTAATAACAATTATAGTGGGTATATGGAATTGAGTGATACATTGGATCCACATACCAGAGATGTTATTGATTATTTACAATTCGAAAAGAATTATAAAGTTGGTATAATTACTGGTGATCAAAAGGGTGCAGCGATGAAAGTAGGCAAGGAATTAGGAATACCTGCTTGTAATATTTTTAGTGAGGTTTTACCAATCCATAAGGATAAAGTAATAGTCGATTTAAAGAGAAAGTTTGGCGGTGATCGTAATGTAGGTATTGCATTCATTGGTGATGGTATTAATGATGCCCCAGCTTTAGCCCAGGCGGACATTGGTATGGCAATTAGTTCGGGAACCGATATAGCTATTGAGTCAGCAGATATTGTTTTGATTGGTAATGGTCAAGGTCAACGATCTCACTTATTTGGAGTCCCAATAGCGTTAGATATTTCTCATGCAACATTTACAAGAATTAAAATGAATTTCTTGTGGGCTGCTATCTACAACATTATTATGTTACCATTTGCTATGGGATGTTTCTTGCCATTGAATATCATGTTGCCACCTGCTGCGGCTGCTGGTGCCATGGCATTGAGTTCTGTTAGTGTGGTTATTAGTTCGTTATTATTAAAAAATTGGAAGGCTCCGAAAGTCATAGATCATGATGCGCAATTCAAATCTGACATTGAAAATGAAATTGGAACGGGATTTAGCTTGAAAGATTCTACTATAGAAGAATTTAATAGAACTAAAAGAACTGGTAATAATAGCCGGTTCAAGGGAATTTTAAACAAACTTAAAAGAAACCGTCTATTGAATAGCAATACTTATGAAATGCTTCCTACAGCATAAATTAGTTTTACTATAAATTTGTATATAATATATTTATTGTTAATTATTTAATCTTAATCATGATAAACATAACATGCTGTAATCCTTTCCTAACTTGAAAACAACTGCAAAAATATAAGACGTTAATTTGACAGTATCACCTGCGGAACTTTTTTCCTTTAGTTACCTTACACAAAACTAATGGATATCAATGCAACCAAATTTTGCAGTCATAATTACGATATTAAATATTCTTTATAATGGCAATATACTTGAACCGTTTAATATAATTCATCCATTGGGGTGTCTTTACAAAGAGATTGATTGTTTGTTTAAAATAGCTTCAATTTTCGTAATATCCTCAATTATTTTAATAAAAAGCATAAATTATTAAGACTTAGAAGAATATAATGCTGAGCCTAAACATACAAAATATTTTCCCAACACATTCCAAAATGAGTTGTTATAGTCCATATTTGCTAATGAATTAAACAGTTATAATGTATACTATTGAATGTTACGTTTACATTGAAGAATACCTATATGTTATGATTAACAAAAAGCATATAAATAGGTATAGATAATTAGTTGTGAAAATATATAAAATCAATTACTAAGAAAAAGAAATGAAATTACACGTCATTACATTAACGACCTTAATTACTGTTTGCTGTGCAGCAAGCCTTCCTGTAGACTCCTATAGGGAAGTCAACTTATTTCAGGAATTGGATCTCAATATGAGTGAAGTCGATGCCTTGGACATCGAAAAAGTTGCTGCTACTGGACTTACAGATTTACTCAACAAAGGAAAGAAAGCATTTTCGTTAGTCAGCGTATTGAAAGATGTCTTGGGAATGATTAGTAAGATCGATCAAATCCAAGACAGTGAGGAAATGGGGCTTGCAAAAAGAGATTTGGTTGAAGATTTATTAGTGAAGGTCTTTGTCGCACTAAAGAAATCAGGGCTTGTGAACTCGATTGTTAAAATGGCGTTGACCGATTGTGACGTGCGTCCAGCGATCATCGATATTTTAATCGAACTACTCGAAGCCGATGTAATCCCATGGGAAGATATATTTGAAGCCTTAAAAGATTCAGGCTTAGCTGTTGACGTCATTAATGAGCTTTTCACCGACCCAGAAACAAGAGAGGGTCTTGTGCAATTCACAGCAGAATTAATCCCAGACTTACTAGCTTCTGGTGCACTCAGTGGTAAAGACTTCTGTGTAGTACCTTCCGCTCACATACAATTGATCAATGCTACAATTCCAAGTTTTAAATAGTTTCTATATTTAGGGTATCACATTATATCTCATAAAGCTAATAATTATTTTACATAACTTGCTTATAAAGCTAATAAAGCACCGGCAGCTAAAGCAGCGACACCGACAGCGTATTGACCCTTAGCAGCAGCACCTTCGTAAGTGGAAACACCAGCAACAGTGGTGTTAGCAGCAGCAGAAGAAGAAACTGGAGCAGAAGAAACTGGAGCTTCAGTTTGCTTAGCTGGACAGTCAGTGACAGTGGAGTCACAATCAGTGACAGTGACTAAAGTAGATTGAGTGTCAACTTCGGTGACAACATCAGCGCTGACGAAAGCAGCGACAACAGCGAATAAGGCGACGGTGGAGAATTGCATATTTAATATTAAACGAAAGACTGGTAGTTAGATTACTATAGAGAATAAAATAAAATTATTAAATTAACTGGGTATCGGGGGTCCTTTATACTTTTTGTGAATATATTTTAATGTATAGGTTGTTGGTGAAGAATTTTTACATACCATCCGAAAACTAAGCAGATAATGTGTCAACAAAGGTAAGATTCTACCGAACGCTTCTACACGATGAAAAAAAAATCGCGTTTTCTGCTTATGGTAACCAAGTTACCAGATAGGGAACGGTTTGCGTGGTAAAAACGCAGACTTGAAAAATGTTGCGCGAGACACTTTGGGTTCCAGAATTCTCGTGGTGAAAAATCAAGAAAATGTCGCGTTTCATTCCAAGAATTCGCAAAAATGCGTATATTTGGGTATGAGCTTTAGAGGCGGGAATTCCAGAGTAAAACAACGGAAAGTTAGACCACTTTAGTGGGGGGATGCTGACGATTACGCATAAATATTTTCTATAGTTATTTTTGGATGTATTTCGCACCTATGGTAAGTGCCGCTTTTTATAGCATCATAGATGTATATTTAAAAGGCGTAATTACACGGTTCTATAGACTATTATGATTACACGGTTGTCAGCATATTGCGGATTAAAATTCAGCTCTGGGGGTAACATTTTTTCTAGAATACCAATTAACAAAGTCTCTTAATGAGGATCGGATTCTTCTGTTATCTTTATTTGGTAATGCAACACTAACAGTATTGATAAGTTTCTCTACTTCTTTCTCATTAACATTAGACAAGCTTTTGACTATATTCGTCAACCAGTTTATTGCAATGGAGTATTCCGGTACCACAATTAAGATTTTTAGAAGCAAATCACTCGCATCCTGCTGGATGTCGTTATGGAAAGTAAAGATAAGACCATCTAGCACAACCTTAACAAGATTACCTCCATTGTCATTCATGACTAAAAATTGTTTTACAGTGTCTTGAATATGCTGTGGATTCTCGTCAAAAAATGATATTGGTGGCGTAGGCAATCCCCACGAGACAAAGTCAATAAGAAAATGTAAGCAAGAAACAAGTGGTTCAAATTGTTCTAGAGAGCTTAATGTGGCGATACTAGCATCTATTGTCGATTTGAGCAAATCCAAATTCGGTATTATCTTGAATGGATAGAACATCAATAAATCGTTCATCATCCTGAAGAAGTCCTCAACAACGTCAGGTATATTCTTCAAGTCATTCTCACACTTTATCAACTCGAAGAATAGCGAGCATTGGGATAAACCAAATTGGTAAACTGATTCTTTGATATCGCCTGAAGAGTACTCATCACCGAATTCTCTAATTAATATCCCCGATACCCATAAATAACATCCAAACTTGGTTTGCTTAAACCCGTGATGTAAAATATTAGCAATATCCGATAATATTGGGGTTAAGTAAGTACTGAATGATTGAATTGCATTCTTAATTAACTTTAGTATTCTTTCACTGACTTTTAAAGACTTACCATAATTCAGCAATATGCTTGAAGCTGCCGGCCAAACTTCTTTTATGAATAAAGTACAGATAGGGTAATCAGGTTTTTCATAATCCGAGCATCTTAATACTCCAATAAAAGTCGTTAAGATTTCTATCTGGTCAGCAATTAATACATTAATACTCTCATCATTAGCATTAGCATTACTTGATAAAGTAGATAAGGTAGACAAAGTAGGCTTCCAGAACATTTCGCAAGTCTGATATGAATTCTCTAACGGAATTTGTTTTATGACATGTGCTAATCCATCAACTAATTCATAAGCCGACTCAATATCTAACTGTTCTCTAACTTGTCCGTATAACATGTATAATTGTTCCAAATAATTAACCAATAAAGATGAACAATCTTGACAGAAATACATTAATGCATGGGAAGCAGCAATAATGATATCTTTGTTATTAGTGTTATTTGCTACTTCAAAACCTTTAATAATATAGTTTAATTGTGGCTCCAAAAACTCTGGGTTCTTCGACGTCCATTCAGTATAACGACCTAACACTAAAGTGGCTGCATATCTTATCTTGGCATGTTCGGGCAATTGAATCAAACAATTCATAATAGTTGGTAAAATAGTTTTCTCTTTTAACGGAATCTCTTTTGCCATTGCTCTCATAGAGAATAATGGAGCCTCTAAATATTGCCATCTGGTTTCATTAGCATTGGTGTTTAGAATAGTCTGAATTTGTTGAAATGGAATGTTCAATGAAATAGTTGGTCCAACTACTGCACAACAATCTTTTAAGACATCACCCATTTCATAACGAAATTCTTTAAACTTATCTTCTTGTTCTTTGTCACCGTCAAATAAGTTATCATCATCAGCTACGATGGGGTATGTCAAATGCTTAATTATAATTGAAATTAATTTGCTGTAAACATCTTGGAATTCCAATTTCGAATCCTGAAATTTAGGTATAGTGATTAGTTGCTTTAAAAGGTGCCAAAAGTAAAATGTGTACTTTACCACATCAAGATCTTCTTCATATTTACAGCATTCGAGTAAGATCTCAACCAATGGCTTGAAATGCTTTGGGTTTTTTGCAATTAATACATGCCATGATTCACTTGCTTCAACATAAAGTCTTGTTAAGCCACTGAAAGTTTCAGGGTCTTCTAACTTTTCCTTATTAGAAGACATATATGTATTCAATTGAATGAGTTGCTGATACAATGCGTCAATCAATTCGTAGTTTTCGATGTCTCTTGTTTCTCTCATTATTGTACAAAGACATTCAATTGATTGGTCAAAGGTTTGATCATCAGTTAAAGATTGGAAGATCAAGTTGGTCAATGAATTTATTTGTAAGATGGTTTCGATAGGACATTCCTTAATCCAACTATTCAAACAGTCCAAGACCAAGGTGTTGACCTCCTTTGAATTCGATGATTCCGTCAACTTTTGCAAAATCAATAACACCTGTTCCACGTTACTGGTGATCAATTCTTGAGTTCTCACATTGAACTCTTCATCGGTCAATGACGTCTTCTTAACGTCCGACAATTCCTCTGGAAGAATCTTTAAAAAGTCCAATAAACATGGAATTGTAGTTTGATCCGCCGACAATTTCGAAATGATCTCCGTCATTGCGCCCTTCCACGTCAAGTACTGTAACGCAAGTTGCGATAACGAAATACACAACTGAGTTCTGATTATTCTTCCCGAGTGGTCTGGATATTTTGTAATTAGCTCGATGACCGAATCCTTTAATTGCTCCAAGTTGGCCTCAGAAACTTGATGCAAGTCGTAAGTAATCTTAGATCTTAACGTCTGTGCCGCAAATAGCTTAAATTGTATCGATTCTCCACTATTGCTTATGATTTGGTGAGTTAACTCCCATGCTTCCTGCGATTTTTGAAATGACTCTAAAAACCTGGTGGCTTGCTTTTTGTCCGCATGCGACGCATTTGAATACATAGTACTCAAGGCATGTTGAACTTGGCTTAGTGATTCAGTTCCAGACATCATATAATGTCACTTTTGCTTATTTACTAGTCTTTTATTACCTTGTTTAACCTAATGGTATGCTTCGTAGAACAGAATTTCCACCAAAATTCAATCTAAATCAATATGCAGGACAAAAATGTTTTGTGTCATCACCTCTTTTATACAGGACGGACATAAAAAAAAAAAGTGTTCCATTACTGCTAGCAGTAATAGTTAGGTTCATAATTTATTCGTTCACAAAAGATTGTATAATGAGGTTGAGAACTAGTAAATTGCCATGGGTGTAGAATAATAACAGAAAATTGTCAGGATGTCATTAGAAATACATGTTTGCTATGTAAGAGACTCAGGAACTGATTTAATGGCAATGGATCGTCTGAATTGGACTAGTACACTACCTTGATGGGTCGACATAATACACGGTTTAAAAAGATAAATATTAGGTGATTAGGGTTGAAAAGAAGTAAATACGCATATACTTGGGTTGAATTATATCTAGACAACATGAGCAGACCTATCGTTATCTCAGGACCATCAGGAACCGGAAAATCTACTTTATTGAAGAAGTTATTCGCCGAATTTCCAGACAGATTTGGATTCTCTGTCTCGAACACAACCAGACAGCCAAGAGCAGGAGAAACAGATGGAGTTGAATACAACTTTAGCACTGTCGACGGTTTCAAACAGGCCATCGAAGAAAAGAAGTTTATCGAATGGACGCAGTTTTCTGGTAATTACTACGGTACGTCGTTCAAAGCCGTTGACGACGTCACCAAGAAGGGTAGAACATGTATCTTGGACATTGAAATGGATGGGGTCAAGGCTGTGAAGGCTTCTAACTTGAACGCTAGATTCTTGTTCTTGAGTCCACCTTCTATCGAGATTTTAAGACAAAGATTAGAGGGAAGAGGTACGGAAACCCAAGATTCCATCGAAAAAAGAATCAGTGCTGCCAAGGCTGAAATGGATTTTGCTAAGACAGGAGCTCACGATAGAATAATTATCAATGATGACTTAGATAAGGCATACGTTGAATTCAAGGATTTTATTTTGGCTGAAAACTAAAGAACTAGAGCATGTATGTAAGTGGTGATTAAAAAGCAGGATAACAATGTGAACCGCAATATATATATATAGATTTTCCATATAATTGTGAATTTCCACTGTTCCTATCGTAAGCTCGTAACATCTTTGAAGCTCTTTCACGGCTCTTATTTCATCAAATTTCTACTCTCATTAGATCAAATATTTCACTTTTTTTTATATCGTGCTACTTCCTACTGTCTACGGTATGGTAACTAGAAGTATTTCCTGGAAAAAAAAAGGGTTCGTAAAAGATTCATGTCGTTGTAGTACAATTAAACGGTACCACTTTTTAGCAATGGTCATGTGATTGAGATAATTTCTATTATGCTGATTAGATACTTCAAATCTGATGATATAGTACATTATAGAAGTAACTGTAACATGAGTAGAGAACTTCCATCGTCCTTCGATGGGACAAGTAAGTTTGATGAAGAGTATGTTTAATTG